GAAGAAAATACAGAGTGGAAAGGTGTAAGAACCAAAATGTTTTATTTGTATATACACAAACAAATGTATCTCTGCATACTTTCAATGAACAGTTGAAATTAAACAAAATATATAACTCAACCAAAACATGAAATTCACAGGGAACTATTTGTGAACATATGTGTTAAACATGTACACTGCAAACTATGAAGCACTACTTTTTGAAAACCTCTGGATGATTTTCACTACAGCCTATAGATAAATTCTTATGGGAAGGGAAGGATATCTCAGAGGACAGACTTAAGAACACCCAGGGAAAAACCAAAAAAAAAAAAAAAAAAAACCTATACAGATCCACTCTAAGTACAGGGTCCATCTCATCAACTATGCCTTACCCACTAAGCAGTGGCTTAGTAACATGTGTCCAGTGGAGCTGCAGAATGGCTCTGGACTATCCAGAACCATAGGATTCCTATTCCTCCAGTTTTGATTAGGAACACTGATTGGTGGTCATTATACTGTCACTGACTCATCAGTGCAAGTTTGATATGAAAGAACAAATAAAAAGAGACACAATAGGAAACAAAGTCCAAAAGACTCATTTGTCTCTAGACCTGATTTAGATGAGACTACCCTGAACTTTGGGCCCTTTGCTGGTATGGAAGCTTTAGAATCTAGGATAAATATGATAGTATTTTGTATGTGGAATACAAATAATTTATGAAGAAAGGGTGTTTATATGGAGAACGGGACATTGTTCTGGGCATTCCAGACCTCCTGTGTATACAGATTACACTACCAACCCACAGGATCATACATATTAATGAAACAGTAATTATTTAAAGCCACTGAGTCTGAAGATGTTTCATTATAGACAAGTATGTTTCTTTGCAGGTGTGATGATGTTAAGAAGGTTCAACAATTTGAATAATTTAAAGTAGGGTGCACTTAAAGTCAATAGAAATTACAGCCAGGTGCACACCTGTTGTCCTTATGTAATTATTAACAGCACGCTCCCTCATTGTGAAATCCTCTTGGTTTGGCCAATACATCTTACTTGCAATGTACTGCTTAACAAGAAGTTAAGGCCATTGGCTCACTGGAAGTTAACATTTTAAATTACATAAATGTAAAATATAAAATCTGAAACCAAGTACTATTGTAAATCCCAGATGTTCCTCAAGGCATAAAAATATTTTAAACAACCTACTGGCTTCTGAACAGCTGAGATGAAAGTGACAATGTGCTACTAATGGCTGCCAAGATTAAAGTACTTTCTCCATGTCTGGAATATCGTAACATGTGAATTAGAAGAAACACTTAGAAAAAAAAGGTTATGCTTCCCTTCTCTTTACTCCTAATCTTTCCCTCAGTGATAATCTGAGTCTTTAACATAAAGAAGGCTAACTACAACATAGAGGCTGGTGAGGTAGCTTAGGAGGAAAAGGCATTTGCCACCAAGCCTGACATCCTAAGTTCAATTCCCAGAACTCATATGGTAGAAGGAACAAAGCAACTCCCATAAGTGGTCCCCTGACCCCCACCCCACACATGTGTGGACATGCACACACAATAAATAAATGTTTAAGAAAGGAAAAATACAATATAGAGTTGATTTCCAAATTTATGGAAAGACGGTTTTTAATTTAATTAGAAAGCTATAAAATTCTTCAATTATAATGTACTTGTCAGAAATGGTCTTTAAGTTTTCATAACGTTATTTAAGAAAATTAAGATAATACAGGAAAATTAGTGCATTTTTAGAGATGTGGCTGACAAAAACTATCTGAAAACAGAAACTTAATCCATTTATTTATTTTTATGTGTATGTTTTGCCTCATGTATACAAGTGCACCTGTATGTACAGTTCCATGTGGAGGCAGAAGAGGGCATCAGATCTCCTGGAACTGAAATTAGGACAGTTATAGCCACCATATGTGGGCAGGGAACCAAACCTGGGTCTGTGGAAGAGTAGCCAGTGCTCTTAACCACTGGTCCATCTCTCTAGTCCCTCAAAGTTTTATTACTATTATTACAAACAGCAATTTAAAAGGAAAAAAGCCAGAGGGGGGCGGCAGGAAGTATGAGGGAGAACAGTACAGCGGGAAACGAATGAGAACAAATGAAAATGCCACATATGTATGAAGATCATGATGAAACCCGTAATTTTTGTATGATGCTAACATGAAAAATGAAAAGAAAAGGAAAGCAACCTAAGAATATTACTCTATTTTTATAAAGGGTTCACAAAGTAGGCTGGCATGAAAGGAGGTGGCATGAATACACTGGATTAGCAACACTTCTTCTGACAAGGGCTCTTTGTTGGAGAATCAATTAAAGACAGTTTAAGAAAGCACTTTTAAAAGTGCCACCTGAATGCATTTGGAGTCACTGAAGACCTACAAAGACTGACAAACATGAGATACAGAGAAAACAGAGAGAAAAGAACAAAAAACAAAGCATACAGAGATGTAAGAGCTCAAAAAGGACATTCCAAGGGTGTACACTGATAATTGTACTCATTACCTTTCTTGTGAGCACAAACTCAGTTCTGAACCCCTGGGAATTAATAATTGAAGCATTTGTTTATGTGAAGCTAATGGTATTCATTAGCAACTCTTTTTTGCTGTTCTTTTTCACATTTCTATTTTTAAAATCTGAACCTTCTGGGGATTAAAACGTTTTATTTTTTTAAATATTTTTATTGAATTTTTGTGGATTTCATACACTAAATCTTAATCATATTTAGTGCCCCTTCCTATCAGCAACCCCCACATAGCCCGCCCACAGAACTTCATGCTTTTTGTCACACTATGTTAAGGCTTATCGAGTCAAGTTTCTATACCCAGATGTCCCTTGATGTGAGTTCACTCACTGGAGCCTGTTCAACCTATCTAGCACCTCTCCCTTAAAGAAGATCAACTCTTCCTCACCCAGCAGTGATCAGCTACCAATAGTTCCTCACCAAAGTTGTGGCCTCCAACCCATTGCCCTAGTTTTATGTTGGTTTTTGTCTGATTAAAGCATTCTTTTTTTTAAAAAAAAATTATCATTTTTATTTTATGTGTATGTATGTATTGCCTGCATGTAGGTAAGTGCCCCCATGTTGTGCAGTGCACACGGAGGACAGAAGAGACTATTGGATCCCCTGGAACTGGAATTACAGGCAGTTGTTAACTGCCATGTGGGTGCTGGGATTCAAACCCAGGTCTTCTGCAAGAACAATCAGTGTTCTTAACTGCTGAGCCATCTCTCCATCCCCTGAATAAAGCATTCTTAATAAATTATTTTGAAATTAGTTTACTTTGAATGTGAGGAAATCAACACTTGTCTGTCAAAAATGTTTGAGAATGCTGAAAACTAAAATGGAAAAGAATTTCCATCATCTCTACTTATTCAGAACTACCCACCATTAGTAACTTGATATCTATTCTTCCAAGTACTTCTCTTTTTTGTATATGCTTTATAATATTATCTACCCAAATCTGGGATAATAGCAAACTATTTCATAAGATCTTTTCAAATAATCATTTATGGTAAAAGTTTTTACATTGACAAACATTTATATTAGAACTATGTCTTCCTAGAAAGAATGAATAAAATTAATACCACTCCACTGGTATACAATATGTATGTCTAATAAGATATTATATTTTCATATTTAAACTAACACTCCTGAAATTACACGGTATCATGTAATAATCTGATACATATATTCACTGTATAATGTTTAAATTATTTCTGTCTCCTCAGTTATAATTTCTTTATGGTAAAAATATTTCACACAGGGCATAATTACTATATATATTATTCACATATAATTT